ACAGGGCACTGCAAGGATGCTTGAGACACAACTGGTTTATGGAGCTTCGTCTTGCAGACTTGAGAGTTATAACTCACTCATATTTCTGAGTTACAGAGCAGTCATCATCTGCCTGTTCAGGAAATGAACTTACACTTCAACATCAAGGATAAGGCAGACATGAGAGAGCTCTTGCCATCAACAAATGCTTTCGAGGGGCGCCTGCGTGGCTCAGTCATTAAGCATCTGCCTTTGGCTCAGGTCATGATCCCAGGGTCCTGGGATGGAGCCCCGCATCGGGCTCCCTGCTCAGCGGGAAGCCTGCTTCTCCCTCTCCCAAACCACCCCCGCCCCCGCTTGTGTTCCCTCTCTCGCTGTGTCTCTCTCTGTCAAATGACTAAATAAAATCTTAAAAAAACAAAAACAAATGCTTTTGAAAGCCAGAGTTATGTAAGAAGCAACCTGAGTTTGCCTCCACAAAGCATCACACAGCCGGGTCCCTCCAAGAGCAGGCCTAGGGACCAAATCCCCAGAGCACATCCTTCTCAGATCCCTGGATCCAGCTAACCTCCTTAAATATCTGAGGCCCAAACATTCAAATTCCTCAAGCTGCTGGAAGTAAATTTCAATAGCACAAATTTGGGGACTTTTTTTAAGGCAAAGATATAGATTCTTATTTTCCACAATTAATTGAATATTACTTCTCCAACCTCTGCAGCAGAAAAAACACTTGATCAAAATGATTTGTGTGTGATGCATCCCAGAGCCCTCAGAGGGCCGCTTAGCATTCCCATCCCTTGGCTGGCATGGTCCACTGTCCTGGGCAGCAGGGCAGTGTGCAGAGCAGAAAGGGAAGCGTCTGGTTTTACAGTCTGGTATCACCAACCCCATAGAAACCAGGCTAGAGATTTTTACATACGCTACTAACACAAGCTTTGTAGCTTAAAGCAAACAGATCTGTGCCGAGATACGGAGGCAGTGGTCTTAAGACAACTCCTCCAGGCTAATCATGAGATGCTTCCAGGGACATCAGTGATGCAGTAAAGAGGCTCCCTGATAACTAGCGAGGCTGTATCCTCTCAGCCCCTGCCCTGTATGGGAAGGAGGGTTGGAATCTGCAACGTCTTCTATAATCCCCATCCTCAGACACCTGGCTGTCCTCTCCCTGCTCTTCCAGGACTCACCAAGGCAGGATCTGTTAGAGGGACCCCTGCTACCACCTGTCATCACAGCAGGTCCCAGCCCCTCAAGGATCAAGGTGCACAGGGACCAGGGTGGTTACCCCCTAGGGAAGGGCCACCTTCCCATTAAACCTGGGAATCTAATATGAGCTTGAACTCCCCATCCTCTCACTCACTCCACTGCATGTTCCTCAGTGAGCAGAGGTGGGTCTTGGAACAGCAGGTTCCATGTGGCTGAAGGAAGCGGCCAGAGACAACCACCGTGTTAGAGTCCCGGTTCATTCATCAGCAGCTACATGTACAGGACAGCAATCCCGTATCTGAAACCGTTGGGGTCAGAGGAGTTTCAGAATTCAGATTTTTTTTTTTTTAATTTTAGAAAGCTAATATAACACCCCAGCAGAGTATGAGGAAGCATCCTATAAGCTCATTAGTATTTTTGGTACCCAAACCTGAACATTCATACTGATCTTCTATCAGGTCAATCAAATTACTTATGAAGAGAAATCCAGAGTCCTTAAGGATGGGGGATTTGGCACCATCTGGTTTACTTTCCTCCAGGAGATACTGAAATTCACTCAGAGACAAAGACCCACAGTGGGGAACAGATAAGTGAGGCAACTGTCAAATTCCCAGTAGACATTCCCTGACTCAGGAGGCCCAGGGGACAGATCGGCGAAGATGGGATCAGGCTGATTGAAAGAATCTCTGACACAGTAAATGCCTTCTCAGCTGAGCTTCCCTGGCCTGAGAACCCAGAGACAAATGCTTGCATAGAGCCCTCCATATTTAGAAATTTGGTCTCCAGGACTCAGGCACCTGGCTCCAAGGATACAACACAGATCCAGTCATGGGCCTACCTCGGCAGAAGCAGACCGATTTTCTCAGAGCCCTGACTCCTGTGTGCCAGATGTTAGCTCCACAGGGTGCAGGGCAAATCATGCTTTGATCTTGATGCCTTTGAGAAACAGAAAGAACATCTTCTAGCTACTATCTTTCCTCTGCCCCTTTAAATGCCCACATGCCCAGGAGCCAGCTCCCACTCTGTTCTCTTCCCACTCTGTGCCTGCTCCCTGGCTAACTGCATCCACTCCCGTCACCTCCCCTGCCTGTATGCCCTTGACTCCCACAGCTCCTAGTTCCACCCTCCCCCACTGCAACTCACATTTAAAAAAAGATTTTGTTATTGAAGTACAGTTGCCATACAATGTTATATTAGTTTCAAATGTACAACGTAGTCATTCAACAATTCTGAACATTATGCTATGCTCACCACAGTAGGTATAGTTACCATCTGTCACCATATGACATTATTATAATATATATTAACTATATTCCCTATGCTGTACTTTTCTTTCATCTCTGTGACTTACTTATTTCATAACTGAAAGTTTGTACCTCTTCATCCCCATCACCTATTTTGCCCATCCCCCCACACCCTGTGGCAACCACCAGTTTGTTCTCTGCATTTACAAGTCTGTTTCTGGTTTTGTTTATTTTGTTTTTTTCAGATTCTACATATAAGTGAAATCATATTGCCCTTCTTCGTCTGACTTATTTCACTTCGCATGATACCCTCTAGGTCCAGCCATGTCACAAATAGCAAGACGACTTTTTTAGGGCCGAGTAATATTCCATTATGTATATGTACATCTTTTTATCCACTCATCTACTGATGGACACTTAGGTTGCTTCCATATCTTGGCGATTGTAAATAATGCTGCAATGAATATAAGGGTGCACCTATCTTTTCCAATTAGTGTTTTCATTTTCTTTGGGTAACTTTCCAGTAGTGGAATTTCTGGATCATATGGTATGTCTATTTTAATTTTTTGATGAAACTCCATACTGTTTTTCATGGTCTAACTCATATTTTTAACTGCCTCTTGGGCATCTCCAGGTTGCCTCATGTCCTCTCCTCCCGAGCCATAACCTACTAATGTCTGTGTACTTCCCCACATCTCCCTACCTTGCACTTGGGTCAGTCACATGACTCACTCTGGCCAGTGGAACATGAGCAGAAATGCCGTGTGGTACTGCTGGCAGGGGTATTTAGTACTTGTGCACTATCCCGGTGTTCTCATTTCCTCCATGAGGCCAGCACAAGACAGCAGAGAATCAAAATAGAAATATTCTAGGTCCTAGAGTCACTGCCTAGAGAAAGCCACTGGTCTTGCACTGAACTGTGATAAAAACAAACTTCTATGGGAAAAGATCACTGAGAGTTTAGAATGATCTGACACAGAAGCTAGTGCTCATTACCCCCATATACCCACCTTCTCCACCTGGCAAGTTCCTACTGAATGCCCAAAACTCCAATTCCAATGCCACCTCTTCTGTGAGATCCAACTTTCGTGGGAAGATAAGCCACTCTGTCCTGTGACCTCTAGCAATTCACTCACGCATCCGGCACAATATTACCTCAGTCTGCGGCACATTTCTGTTTGCACGTTCAGCTCCTACATGTGTGGGTGCTTCTCTTTTTAATCCTCTATTCTCAGTGCCTTGGAAGTAGCAAACACCTGATGTTTGATTTCTGGAAGCAAAGCTCGGAGCCTTCTCGCTCATATGACCAGCAAACCCCGAGTCAGCATTTTCTCCCCGAGTCCCAGTGTTCTTGGCATCATGCTACATACCATGGTTGAAGGCAAGAAAAGTAGGACACTATTGCCCACAACGAGGGGTGCTTTTTATCTTTAGATCCTCTGCACCCCATTAGCTTCCATCTTTATTAAAGGACAGCTTCCACTTAAAAAGCACATTGTCTTTTCAGGAACCATTGACTAAGACATTTCTCAGAAAGCAAGATCAAAGAGGACTTTGTAATGACGAGAGGAAAGCGGAGCAGGGCTCTCTCGTGACCCCTGTGAGTCTGGCTCCCCCCAAGCTGGCACACTTTAGACTTGTGACCTGGCATTCTGGGATTGCACAGCTGTACTGGGGTTATTTCTGGTATGAAAAAAGCTGCAGCGAAAGCATCGCCGGCCCCTCAGGGACCCAGACGTAGAGATGATAGCCTGGCAGTGCAGTCGCATCATTGCCGCTTGGCCAAACTTCCCAAACCAAAGGCACAAAACCACGCTGCTGGTCAGGGAAACAGAACAGGGGACCTTTGCTCTTCACATCCAGGGAACTGGCAACGGGCACTGTTAGCAGCTCCCCCTCTCCCCATTCTTTTAAGGCTGTGATAGAACTCTTAGTTCCAGCCCGAGGAACTGCGCCCATAAATAAATGACGCTTGATTGTTAATGCAACGTTTTCACAGTAGTTCCCACAGACTAGCATTTTACCTGCTGTGGGTGTGGCTTTGCAGTAGACATGGGGACATGCCACTTACTGCACAGTAAACAGGAGGTCGACCAGTACTGCTGGCATCCCAGCGCTCAGACAAAAAAATTCCACAACAACAAAGAGCCTGGCAAACCCAGGCGCCACACCCACACTGCAAGGGAACACAGCGGGGCTTCTAGCACCTTCCCTGGCGGAATGTTGAGAGTGGAAATGAAACAGACTCTGCAGTATACTGAAGGCTGGGATAATGAGGAAGGAAGATTAGGAAACATTTTAAAAACCGGAGCACTACCTTAGCAGAAGGCAAAGGTAGAGTTTGGGAGAGTTGGGATAGTACGTTGTAAGGTTCCGTGCTGCATGTGATGGATCAGAGGTATGGCAAAGGAGGGGACCCTGAAAGTCAGAGCTCAACGCAGGAAACTGTTTCTGGGTGGCACTTCAAGGGTCACATACCATGAACAATGAACGCCTCCCCCTAAATCCATTCAAGGTACCAAGAGCATACGTGGAAAAGAGGTTGACTGAAAATGGCACTGCTGGGCAACTTACCTTGTATGAAGATCCTGTTCCAGTAGATCTTCCCCACTTGACTGCCCCCGAGAAACACTAGGTTGGACAGGATCAGCATGGAGGTGGAACAGGATGCCAGGGCGGCGTGGAATCGGCGGCGGGCTTGCGGGGAGAGGAACTGGACCTGCAGGGAACACAGGCGATATGTCATCGTGGTGGCGGAGAAACAGCGCTGAGGTGCCGCCCGGCCCCTGTCAGACACCTGCCCGGGACGCCCACCCCAGACCCTGAGCGAGGGCAGGACTGGGACTCCTCCCAAAACCTTTATTCCCGCTGCACGTGCACTCTGGTCTAAGGAAAGAAGCAACTCGCCCCCAACTTGTTGCTTCCTCCTGCCAAAAGGGAGTGGGCTCCCCCTGACGTGTGACACGAGCACTGACGCTAGTTCAGATTTGGCTGGAATGCCCCCACATGTTCTCTGCAAACCTACAGGTACGAGAACTCTCCCTGATGACCAGCACAGCTCCATGTCATGAGGTCAAGCTCAGGGTAATCTTCTGGGCCAGTTAACGTGACTCTGGGAAGGCACCCTGTCAGTCTGACCCACTATTAGGAGGAGTCCCATTAAGAGGGTGCAGGAGAATCAGCACAAGCCGCCCTCCTTCCTGGAATCAGAACTCAGGGGACACACCCCACTGGAAGTGAGCCTGTAGCAGGGTCACACGATGGTCGCCTGCCACAGCGCCTGAATACGCAGGAAATGGAGAGGTGGTTTCCAGCATTGATGGTAAAGAATTCTGCCCATCCATCTGAGGTCTTCACTGCACTTTTTCCTCCCCTTTTACTGTCTTCTTGGGGATTGCATAAAACAAGCAAAGTCTTTATTTCTTGGCACTGACCATTCTGCTGGCCTTACCGAGTGAGATCACGGCGCTGTGCCCGGAGTGTATGAGCGCCGTCAGTACACTTGCAGGCACTGTCCTTCGGGTCTGCACATGCAGCATGAGAACCAGGTACAGTGCAACCACCGGGCCAAAGGGCCCCAGGGTTTCTGACAAATACCTCAGGCTAATCCAAAGACAGGGAAAAAAGACAGAGCAAAGGGTCTAGAGATCATTCCTGAATATCCTTCTGAAACCTACACATCTCTGGGGTCATTTGCATCCTGATTTCAGCCGTGCTCCAATTATAAATAGGAATCTGGGAACGCCTGGGTGGCTCAGTCAGTTAAGCACCCAACTCTTGATTTCGGCTCAGGTCATGATCTCAGGGTTGCGAGATCCAGCCCTGCATCAGGCTCCACGCTCAGTTGGGCGTCTGCTTGGATTTTCTATCTCTCTCTGCCCTTCCCATCCCAGCTCTCTCTCTCTCTCAAATAAATAAATAAATCTTAAAAAAAAAATAGAAATGTGAATTACCCAAATTCCTAATGGGCAAAAAGGATTAAGCTACAGAGTGTCTCCAGCAGGGGGCTTAATTAGTTCTGAGTACCCTGCTATGGATCATCTGGGGCTACTGTATAAGCCTTGGTCAGTGTCCTCTGGAAACCTAGAGAAATGAATTTCTGACCCCCTCTCCTTTTTCTCTCCTGCCAGTCCCAGCTTCTATTCTATATGCTCAGATACCACTGCTACCATATACCTCCCCATCCGTGGCATTCTCCTCCAGCATCACCTTGGAGCATGGTTTTACTGCCACCATATGTGAAAGTGTGGCCTTCTCATGGATAAGCTGTGTAGTAGGCACTGCCTGAGTCATCTGCTTGGACATGATTGTTCTAGAAAGCTCTCAGATGATGCTGACATGTCCCTGGTTAGAGGCTACCAGACAAGATGACCTCTAGTCTCTCCCTTGTTCTAAGAGGTCACAAGCACGTACAGGGGATACTATCAAGCAAGACCATATAAGAGATAACACACAGTATAAAAACTGGTAATGAAAGAGAAATGGTGACGAAGCAGGCTTGTAACTCAGTACTCTTCACCTCTGAGAATAAGGAGACATTAATCTACTGGTTTCTGCTTTTTAGAGCAGGAGAAGATATTTTCTGGGTATTACTGACTCAATTAGCAGTAACTTGGGAAACAGGGTGAGAGGAAGCAGGGAGACGGGGAAAAAATCCAGAATAAATCATAAAATATAAATTGCTGTAATTGGCATAAATATGTCCAAATAATTCTCTCTAGGTATAGGACCATTGATAACACGTTTGATTTCTAAGGGACCCGGTGAATCAGATGTTCTACCACTTCTGTTCTAACCTCATTCGTGTCCTCCAACCTTACATCCTGTTAGGGGAATTCAAAGGCCCCATGCAATCTTTTCCATATTAATGTCAGTGACAGAGAATACACATAGCTTGGTTAAGCTCAGAGTGGTTTTCTTTCTACAGGAAATGATTACAATTATTAAATAATCGACTGAGAGTTACCGAGAGAGGAAAACACTCTTTGCATTGGACTTCTAAGCAGGGCTGTGGTGCCAGGTGACCTGGTTTGGGGCAAGGGCCAGGCTAGCTGGAGGCAGAGCTGAGGGGCAAGGGGCAGAGTAAGGGAGGAGATGAAGGGGAGAGAGTGCTTAAGACACAGGGCTCCTCTTTCCAGCACCTGAGGCCCTAGTTTCAATGGGTATTCCTTTGCTTCTGTGATTACTTGGCTACATGATTCAATAAATTCCTATTTCTGCTTAGGAAAAGAAAAGTCAAAATAATAGCAAATATGAAGGAGCCTCTGCTCTCAGGACAAGGGAGGCCATCTAAGATCAGAAATGAAGGGCTACAATTCAATTTTTATAAAGAGTTAATTTTGTAAAAACTAAGCGAGAACATTAAAGGTGTAGGCTGTTGGAATCAATGAACTAGAAAGATATAAAGAGGAAATCAAGATGCTCACAGGCAGTTCTTGATTACGCCCCAGGATGAGCAGGTGGGGGACAAAGTAGGTGATGATAAAGAAAATCCAAAAACCTGATTTAACTAATAGCCCCATTCTCTGAACTGACAAAATTAGCCTTGCCAACAAGCAGCAAACTTGACTGAGCATTACTTCTCTTCATTGTGTATCAGTGGGAGAGCAGAATGATAGGCAACCAGGAGCAAAAAGGGGGCCTGTGTGGATAACCCATGATTAATATTAACAGCAAAGGAGATACGAATCTCAGCTATAATCCATCTCTCCTCTTCAGATTCCCTGGATGCACTATAGATAGTGACAGTTTTGACACTGAGGTTCTCTCTCTACCTTGGAAACCATCTGGCCTCAGCCACTGGTTTATACTCTAGATGTAGGTTCCATACTTAGGGGTCCTAGGAGGGAAAAAGTCACATGGGCAAGGGGAGATCCATCAATAAATACAACTTTCTGAATGTCTAGGGACATAGGGCCAAGGTTCCCACTTTAAACTCTTGATTTCTTTTATACACTCTCCTCTGACATCCTATAGCAATTGTTGTCATCACTCTTGTGGTCCTTCACATCTAGGATACAGGCTGTCTGTCCATGTGCAGGGACCATGCCTCATATGTTAGTCATGGCTGAGGTGCTTAAGAACCCCCTTGGTAGAAAAATTTATGTGAGGGACTATGAACCAAATGGGGAAATGAGTCAGTGTACAATGAAGAGTCATCAGGTATAAAAATAAGAATTGCCAATTGATCAGATAAGGCAGTGATCGGTAAACAGAATTTGATTTTAACACAAATATAACAGAATAAAAAAGAACACTGGTCTGGTCATGGTCCCTTCCCAGAAGATAGATGAAGTGATGGCAATCCAATATCCTGGCAGCAAGAATCTGGGAAGGGCATGGGCCCCAGGGGATGTTTAGAACTTGCTGAGCACTTCAGTTGTCTCAAGGACATCAAAATTATGGCATTTGATAGGCAGGGTCCAGGGACAGCAAACATACTGCAATGTATGAGATGGAACCGTCCTGCCCAGAATGTCAATAGTGTCTCTTGAGCATGGGTGAAATGTTTTCTTCTATATTCATTATAAAGCCAACTTCCCTCCTGGTCTATAGGTGCACAGCACCTCCCTTCCTCCCTCATTAGGAACAATGCCAAAAATGTGCCCCCTTTCCCCCTGGGGCCCAGAGAAAGGCATCCTAGGGCAGGGAAAGTGCTCTTTACAGTGCCCCACTGTTGCCCCCCCCAGGCCACCCACTACCCCCGGAGCATCAAGCTTGAGAGAGGAGCCTCCTGTGCTTTCAACCACAGATGGGCATGGTGTAGCACCAGTTCCAAGGCTCCTCTCCCTCACACCCCTCAGACAGACCCAGAGGAAGGAGGAAGAATGGGATGCGGAGCAGGTCAGAAAGTATCGCTTCCTACGCTGGGTGACCAGTTCTCCCTCAGGGACTCTGACTTCAGTGAAAGGTTGGGGGGGTGGTTCTCTCCATGTTAATGTTGATATGACCCACTCTTCAGGCCCAAGAGAAGTACTAGATTTTGGGCCTGGATACAGCAAGCCCCTTAGAACACCGGGAAGGTCAGGACCAGGGTAGACCTCTAATTCCTGTTTGAGTTTGGGGTCTCTGATAGAAAAAAAGAAGAGGTGGGGTGTGGAAATATTGTAGAAGGACAGTCTAGCAGTGCTTTAAACTTCTCTCTGAGACACTGGCTTCCAAAGGCGAGGAACTAACCCAAACAAAGTAAACCTCAGGGCAGAACTAAATTGTCAAACTAGTTTGCATTTCCTGCTGTGAGGTGTCAGCTCCTGTGTTTATTCTTATCTCTATGGAAACTCCTCTCTCTTTTCCAGTCAGCATCCTGTCCCTGGAAATCACAGGACTTGGGCCGGGGCAAGCAAGCTGGGTGCTGGGGTGGTGTGGTCCATGGAATCTGGGTCAGAAGTTACTCTCAGAATGTCTGCGAGGGTGGGAAGCAGATGGCACAGTGGGGCTGCAGTGGCTGTGTGAGGAAGGGCCCACACTCGTCCACAGGGGGACTGCATGTGGGGCCGAGCAGGGAGGAGGGGACAGGCTGAGCATCTGGGGGAGCAGATGGGCCGGAGGAATGGCTGCTGGAGACTGACAAAGGCTTGGCAAGTGGGACCTGATACTGTTTATTTTTAAATGGGGAGAAGCTAAAAAAAGAAATTGGGTGGGTTTGAGCAGCTGGACACAGTTCTTCCATATAATCACTGAAGTCTTTCATTTTCTAATAAAAATGGTAACCAGAGGGTA